GCTGCTGGCCACTATAAGGCCAAGATGTCCGGGAGTGGCCCCAGGCTTAAGGCCCCTGCAGCTTGGGTGCTGAAGGTGGCCACCAGCCTCCCTTTCCCGGAGTGTCTGACTCAGCTCTGGCCCAGGGCCGGCTGCAGCAGGAACAGCCACGGAAGGCGGTCCCGCCAGAACCTGGCCCAGGTCTAGGCCACATGGAGTCTGTCCTTGTCCTTAGGAAACTGCACCCCTTCTCTCTGTCCTGGGCGCAGACTGGATGATATTGGAAGCCAGTCCTTGGTGACATGGGTTCCTCTTGACACCAGCTCTGCCTCCCCACATGGCTGTGTCACCATATCAAGAAAACCTTGTTAAAGGACATCTTGTCGCCCTGCGACTTTGTCATTGCGAGGGCCTGCCTTCCCTTTGGGTTTCAGCGCGAAGTTCTGCTGTCTGATGTCTTCCTTTCCTGGTTCTGCACACCGTTTGCAGAAAGGAGCCCTTTGAGGCAGCCCACTCACCCGGCCCTGTCCCCTCCTGCAGGTGCTTTCGGTTGAAACCCACCCTCTGGACAGTGGCCTGGGCCCTGTGGGCATCTGCTCCGTGGAAGAGGCCCTGAGGTCTCTTGGTTGCTAGTTTGTGGTTGTCACTGTTTCATTCTTTCAGAAATTGGAACCTAGATCTTGTCTTCAGAGCCACCGAAGCGGGCTCTTGGGGCTTCAGCAAGAGCCCTGGCAGTGCTGTCGGGCTGGCACTGCGTTCCCTCCGCGTAGCCCCATGGCCGACTCGCAGCCCTCGCTGTTCTGCACGCAGCTAGGCTGAGTCACGTCCAGCTGCAGATGGAACAGAGACTCTTCCTTTGAAGCCCACCAGTTCGAGTTCAAAGGCTCCACAGCAGGAGCCGGTCTAGACGGCAGGTTCCACAGCTTGGGCTGTCGTTGGAGCTGTCCCTCTCCTGTCGTCTCCGAGCTGGGAGACCCTGCGACCCCTGGAAGGCCTTCCACTTGTCAGAGTGTGAGGTTAGGATGGGGGATCTTCCTGTCCGGGGGCGCCTGTGCTGTGCTTGGGCTGTAAGGACTCTTCCTGCCGCCGCCAGCAGGCAGCTGGTCCCGGAGCAGCCTTGCTGACCCTCTCTGAGCTCTGCCACGCAGAGGTCAGGGTCTGGACAGCGAGTTCTTCCTGCCAGTCAGAGGCGCTTTGGCCTCTGGTCGTTGGTGTCTCGTGGTTTTCAGGGTTCCACACTCGCACCGGAGCTCAGGGCCGCTGGGTAGTGGTGTGGCTGCAGCTCCCTTCCCACAGGACAGGGCCCCTCCTGGTTCGTCTTTTCTGCCTGTGTCCCAGGCACCTGGGCTCATGCTGAGCCGAACCGTCCTGTCAGCCGCCCTGCTTCTCCCAGGTTTCCACAGGTAGTCTCCTGTGCACGTGCTTGCTTGCGTGTGCATGTACACAGAGGATGTGATGCACATGAAATAAAAGTTCCCATGATTGCCCTGGCCGGTTTGGCTCAGCGGTTAGAGCGTTGGCCTGCGGTTCAGAGAGACTTGGGCGCCTACCTTGGTTGCAGTTTGTCCCCGGCCCTGGTTGGTCGTGTGGGTGGCAGCCACTCGATGTGTCCCTTTCACGTCGATGTTTCTCTCTCTCTCTCTCTCTCTTCCTCTCTCTCCCTCCCACTCTACCTGAACAAAAAAAAATGGAAAAATGTCCTTGGATGAGGATAAAAAAAAAAAAAGCTCCCATAATTGCCCTTCAGTCTCAACCCTGACCTGGAGGCGCCTGCTGCCACCGGTGGGTGCATTGTTCTAGGTTATGTTCTCCGAGTACACACATGTGCATGCACACACACACACACACGTCCACACACACACCACACACACGCGCGCGCACACACACTTACACATGTATGCACACAAACACACATACATATTGTACGCACATACATGCACACCTATATACACATGCATACATGTATATACACATATTTTGTTAAAAAGAGCCTGGTGTGTTAGCATTTACAAATATTTTTATGTCACCACTGTAATGGCATTGTGTGTCTGGCATATTCTATGACATCAGTCTGAACTTTTGGACGTGACAGCGTGGCCTCAGAGCCTGGTGGTCTGGTTTGGGTCCCGGCACTGAGTGCGGGGAGGTCACCACATCGTGACGTCTTCCTGAGCAAGGCCAGCCTTGCCCTGGGCCTCACTGTCCTTTTGTCTGGCGCTTTGTGCTTTGATCTTTGTTTCACTGTATTTTGAAGATGCTGGGTTACCAACTGGCAGAAAGTCTGGTGACCTTTTCTTCTATGGTCACTGAAGCAGTCGCGGTGTTCCGAGCGTTAGTCTCCAAAGCTCTTGCGATGGCGTTGGGTGGGTTCTTGGCCTTGTCCTCTGGGGTTCTTTCAGATCTGGACCTAATATTTGTCCGTCAGGCTGACAGAGCCTCAGCGAGTGTTTTCCTTGTCAGACGCGCAGGAAGTGTTTTCTGGGGCACAGGGGATGCTGGTTGCCTGCCCTGCAGACTTGTGTGAGGACTTAGAATCCCTTTTCTGCAGGTGGCCCGTGGTTAGGCCCAGCAGAGTGAGAGGTGGGTGGGCGGCCGGAGTCATTCAGATGATTCCAATGCAGATGGTCTGGGTCACTGTGCTGTTCACTCCCTAGTGATGTGGTCTCTGTGAAGCCAACATTCCCCTTGCTTTGTCCAGAGTGAACCTGCCCTTCCCCCACAGCATGTGAGCCAGACGCACCTTGGAGAGAGGTGTGTGGACTGCCCTCTGCGGGTTGTGTGGGGTGGTTGCCTCCTCTGTCTTGGTGGGGCAGTTCTGTCTGCCTTCTCTGGGAGGGTGGCACAGATCTAGGTGACACTGGCCTCGGAGGTCCCGCTGCTCTGGTCATGGACACGGTGTGCATGTCTGCTCTCGCTGTGGGGGAGGCCTGGGCTGGGGGATGGGGAGGCCTGCTTTCTGCTGGCTTTATTTGAATATGGAGCCAGGCCCCTCGGTGCTATGTTGAAATGTCTACTTAAAAGTTCCAAAGCGTTCAGGTGTCTGCTGGCCACTCTGAGGCGTTAAGCTGAGGGTGTTAGACTCAGGCCGTGGTGTGGCCTGTGTCTGGATGGGCAGCACACAGCCTCCTGTGCACTGGCCTGGAGGTGTCCCAAGAAGATGCAGACGCCCTGAGCCACCCGTGGGAAGGGAACTTTCAGAAGGATAGCACATTAGCTCATTTTTCTCTTCATTTGAACTGTTCCCAATTTCCCCTCATTATTAAATTGTTGCATTTAGATGATCTCTACTTCAAAGGAAATTGGCTGTCAGGGAGTCTGCTCTCCACTGTACAACTGGCTCCTAGCTTTGTGGGCTAGTTTGTGCTTCGGGGCAAGACTGTCCTCACGTGTCCTGGCCCTGCCGACTGCTGTCCAGATTCCAGGGAGGCCTGTCGGGGGTGCCGTCTCAGCTGGAGATGCTGTGTCTGTCTGACAGGTGCCCCTTCATGGGTCCTCTCACTGTTCCAGGTCTGCTGCGTGGTCACACTTCCCCATCGCCCTGGCAACATCCATCTGCTCTCCCCATTGGCGTCCTGGGGCTGGGTCCAGGGAGTTGGGGCCACGCAAGGTGTTCTTTGTGTGTGTGCCCATTGGTTCAGTGACAGTTTATATCTCCTTTGACACAGAAAAATGTAAGACACCTTAAATATCTCTGTAAAATGTTATAGAAAAAAACATGACTTGCCTTGAAAGGATCTGCTTATTCTGCTGAGTTATTTCCCACTAGTTTTAACAGTCTGGTGCTGGGAAAGGTTAGGGGCTCTGGGAAGAATGGGAGCTGCATCCGAGGCTGCTGGAAAGCCCTCCACCCCCATTTCAGTTTCTCAAATGGTCTTTTACTGATGAACATCTTTTCAGTATAACTGTCTTCTTTTTCTTTTTCTTTTTTTTTTTTGAGGTTTTGTCTTTATTTTTAAATGTAACATGTTGGTTAGTAAGGTCGTAGGTTTCGGTGCACGGTTCTGACACACGATCTGGGAGCCACACTGCCCTCCACCCAGTCAGGCCTTCTCCCATCAGAACGTGTTCGACCCTGTCCCCTGTATCACCCCCTTCTATTTAACATACAGACCGTCCGTAGTTCATCCTTAAAGAGGGCATGGTTTGCTGTTACATTTGTGAGACACAACATCCCCTTGATCTTAAAACGCTGTACCAAGCAGCCACCGGGCAAACCAAGCTGTGTATTCGCAAATACCTTAGCTCTCAACTGCTTTCTGGTCGGCAGTGGCTCGTGTTTGGGAGGAGGGTGAGTGAGAACTCTCTCCGGTGATGTGGCTGCGGGCAGCGGGCCCTGGCCCTCGGGGCTGGTCCTCAGGCAGTGAGCTCGCCCACCGCTTGGCCACTCCTGCCAGGGAGCCAGTTAGCTTGTGGGCTCCCCTGTGCTGTGTGTCTGGGAGTGTTGACATCCGCTGGGTATTTTTAAAAATCTCACAGTGATGTTCTGGATGCCTGTTCTCTGAGCTGTGGTGTTGAGCTGGACGATGGGCGTCAGCCCGAGGCTCAGAGCTGTCAGAGCGGAGTGGATGTAGAGCCGCTGGGAGAGGCTCAGCTGCTGCCTCACTCGTAAACGGGAGCCGTCGACATCAGGCTGCCACGAGCACGCAGCACCGTCCATGTGGGCATCGGCCATCACCGTTGTCACCGCTGGTGCTGGTGCTGCATGCTGGGTTCGGGGGGGGGGGGCGTGCAGCGAGCCCTCCTCTGGGCGGCGCTCGGCAGGCACCTCACGTCTCACGTCCTCCCACAGGGCCCTGTTTTCACGTGGAAGAAAGCCAAGGCTCCGGAATTCATTGACCCGATGTGAGAGGTCGCGGGGGCTGCGGTTTGAAGCAAGGTGGTGGTGGCCGCGCAGTGCTGTGCCACACTGCCCTGGGCAGGTGCACGGACAGAGCTCCTTCTGGGCCTGAGTCGTCAGCTGCTGGCACAGCCAGGCCCCCCTCCCGGGTACCGCTGGCTGAGTCTGTGTTCTTGCCCTGCAGGACCCCGGAAGACCTGTCCAGGTTCATCGTGGAGCTGCAGCAGCGAGAACTGGCCCTGAAGGACAGGAACGGCTCCATCACCAGCAGGTAGGCTGGTGTCGTCGGCTTGGGATGGGGTCGGTGAGCAAGTGTCCTGGTCCGGCTTGGACAGCTGTGCATGCTTCGCTCCCAGTGGCTTTGGCTGAGTGAGTGGGAGCTGTTGGTGCCCTGTGGTGGCCCCATGGCTGAGACTCAGCCCAGGTGGCACGACGTTCTCGTCCCTCGCGTGCCAATCTCCGTGCATTCCTGTGGGCGGGCTCCCTGGGGTGTGGGCTCTGAGTGACCCCTTGGTGGTATGGAAAGCTGGACCCTGGGGTCCAGCATCTGTTGGTGTGTGCGACCTTGTTGGCCTTGTGCGCTCAGGGGAGGTCCACGGAGACCAGCAGGACAGCCAGGATGCCTCTGGCTGAGAACAGCCCTGGGCCCTGTTGTGCAGAGATTTGTTTCCTTCCCGAGTGGCAAGTCCAGAGGCAGCAGCTGTGCGATTCTTCCAGGGCTGGGGCTGGCTTCATCCGGCTCCCAGGGCCATGTGTCTCCACTGCTCCTCTGGCCTGACCTGGTGCCCGCCGTTCAGTCCTGGTCTTCACCAACTGCCCAAGTCTGTGCAGACCCGCAGGCAGAGGGCTCAGACCCACAGGTTGTCCCTCGCCAACTCCAGTCATAAGTATCGGCCCCCAGGTTATCCACACTTCTGTCTGACTACAGATTCAGGGGTTCCCTCACTCCCCTCCATTTAATAATCTGCTAAAGCGACTCAGAGAACTCCGGAAAGTGCTTTACTTACGACTGCTGGTTACTACAAAGACTGTAGCCAGAGCACAGGTGGGAGCGATGCTGGTTAGGGGTGGGGGCAGGTGTCATGTGCTCCTAGCTGCACTGCTCTGTATGGTGTTAATGGGATTTTGGAGGTTTCACTGCTTGATTAAGTCATTAGCTGTTGGTGATTGACTCAGTCTCTAGCTAATCTCCCCTCCCTGCAGGTGGGGTGGAGCTGGTAGGTCTGACCTGAGCACATGAGCTGCCTTGTGTCCCGCCTAGAGCTACCTGTTAGCACTCACCTTTGGGTGAAAGGGGCTTGTTATGGGAACAAAGCCTGCTGTGCCCCCAGGAAGTCCCCAGGGTCTTAGGAGCTCTGCCAGGATTGGAACTGAGATCAAATACTGTTGTCCCTTTATCCTCGGGGACATGTTCCAAGTGAGTGCCTGCAACCCAGCTAGTTCCGAACCCTGCGGACACTGTGTTTCTCCTCTACACACAGACCTGTGATAACGTTTCATTTATAAACCACGGTATGAGGTCAGCAACAGTAGCTATGATAAAACAGCGCAGTGATAAAAACAACTGGAACAAAGCGACTAGAATGGCTTTGGGCACCGTTAGGTGGAAGAAGGGGACTCGAACACAAGCCTGCGACACCAGAACAGTCGATCAGACAACTGAGCCGGCTGCTCAGTGACTAACGGGCAGGGAGCGGACGCAGCGTGGACACAGCCAGACAAAGGGGTGACTCATGCCGGGCAGGACAGAGCGGAGGGTGCAAGGTTGCATCATAATACTCAGAGGGTGCTCAGTTGAAAACTTATGAGTGTACCCGGCTGGTGTGGCTCTGTGGTTGAGCGTCGGCCTATTCACCAGGACGTCCAGTGGGGGGCGTGCAGGAGGCAGCCGATTAGTTTCTCACATCCATGTTTCTAGCTCTCTCTCTCTTCCTCTCTCTGTAAAAGTCAATAAAAATATATTATTTAAAAAACTAGAAAACAAAACCAAAAACTTATGAGTTGTTTACTTCTGGACTTTTCCATTTAATATTTCAGACCATGGTTGACCATGGGTAACTGACACCCTAGAAAGTGAAACTGTGGGTAAGGAGGGTCACTGTGCTCATTGCTTGGACACCAAGCTTGTCTCCTGTCGTTTCCAGTCTGGGCGCCACGTCCACAGGCGGAGGAGAAGCCTCCTTGGGTCCCTTCGAGCAGGGAGACCCTGAGGCCCTGGCTGCAGATTTCACCTCAAGCCTTGCTGGTCCAAACAGGTCTGCCAACAGAGGGCAGGTTACTGCATGAGCTCCCGCGAGCCCAGTTCCACTGGGGTCCCTTGAGGAGGGGCGCCGAGTGAGCAGGGCCCAGGGATAGGCCGTGAGGCAGGTGACTGGGCAGAGCCCTGGGCGCCCTGTGCACCCTGACCAGCTGTGGGCCTGCAGCTCGAGAGGAACTGTCCGGGGGCCGAATTCCGTGGAGACAGTGTGTTAATGATTTGTTAGTAGCCAGAAGGAAGGCCCCCACACCCCCACTTTGGGGGCTGATATCGTGAAAATTGGCTTTTAGAAGCATCTGGTTATGTCAGACGTAATTACATCAATTTAGTTTACAAACCTCCAATGATAAAGAGTGCCTTTTGCGTTCAAAGCTCCCTTGAGATGAACGGGCATCAGGAGTGATTTGAAATTAGCGCTTTAGCAATTTCCAGGCGAGTGAGCTAGGAGGGCAAGGAAGCCTGTGTGCACTTCTCTCTGCCAGGCTGTGAGGTCTGCTCTGGCACAGCAGGAGTGTCCGCCTCTGTCCAGAGCACTGTGGGATGAGGTGCACCCGTCCCCTCCATTTTGGGCAGTGGCTTGGGAATGGACTCTGCCTCAGGAGGCAGCCCTCCGAGCTGTCAGGGGCCTGTCCCCTGCCAGGAGCCCTGCCTTCTCTCGGAGATGGGCAGGTGCCATTCGTAGTGACTGGAGGACAGACTGGCTCCTCACTTCCCCTTCCAGTGCGCCCTGCACTTATCCGCTCCTCCCTCCCTCCCTCCTTTCCTCTCGGCTCAGCTCCTGTGTGCCTGGGTGCGGCAGCAGTGGAGGAGGGTGTGTTGGCACCTTAGGTTGCCTGCCGTTGGCCTGGCACCCATTCCCTGGCTCCCGCCACCCCATCCCGTCCTTGGCTCTGCCTGACGCTGCGGCAGGTCCATGGCTTAGAGCTGTGCTCACAGCGTCCTGCGAGAGAGTGAATCCTGAGTGATGTGTCACCTGGTTTCCCAGCGAATGCACTTGGGAAGGCTGCGGTCCAGGCTGGTGGCAGCCCACAGAGGCGCGGGGTCTCAGTGTGGCGCCTCTCCGCGCAGGGGACGGTGCCAGGAGACATGTTCTGAAGAGTGATTTTCCTCCCTTTGGTGGCACAAACCCAGACACAGTGCCTGCTGTGTGCTGGGCGGCACACACGTGCACACACGCGTGTACATGCCCACACACGCACACAGGAGCACTGAAAAAGCAAAGGGTGTTTGTTTGGTGGGAGATGTGTTTATTTTCTGGCTGCAAAGTTGATCAGGGGACGGTTTTGAGAAGTGCCCTTGTAGTTAGGTCTGGCCAGAATGGTGAACAACCACGGAATAGAGCAGAAGCCGCCTCCTGATGATCCAAGGTGGGCCGCTGCAGTCGGCCGGTCGGCCCTGTGGGCTCTGTCCTGCTCCCGTCCCTGACGGCCTGGACTGTGGTGGAGGTGTCCTGTGTCTGCTGGGGTGCAGGGGACGCCTTTCTGTCTGAGGCGGATTGTTGGCCAGGAGGCCAGGTGGGCATCTCCGCCCAAGCCAGGCTCCCTATGGCAGCTTCACTTTCTTTATCTCCAGAGGGGGCACGAGTGTAGGGTGGTGCTGATCATGCGAGCCCCGAGCACGGCCCCAGCCCAGCAGCCGGAGTGCAGTCTTGGTCAGTTTTGCTCGTTGAGTGGGTTTCCTATTCTGTGGAAACTTCAGGAGGTGCAGAGGGTCCAGGGGGCTCGCCGCCTGTGTCTGATGGCTGGCACCGGGCACACCTGTGCGGCACAGCTTCCGGGGGTCAGGTCTGTCTCCCTCCCCTCGATGCCAGGGACGACCTGCAGCCGACACCCCGCAGGCACTCGAGGGTACATCAGGAGCCAGCCTTTCTGTGTGAGGTTCGCGTGGGGGTGGGGCTGGGGCTGGGCCGGCAGGCCTGTGTGGTCCTGCCTGGGCCGAGGCAGGGCTGCTGCCCTCCACGAGGCCGTGCAGTGTGGGCCGAGCTGCGGGGGTTGCCAGGACGGCTGGCCGCCTGCTCTGATCAGCCCTTCACTCTGGCTCTGCAGCCTCCTTCCTTCGTGCTTGGGACTCCAGGCTGGAAGGAGAACCCAGGGCCCTGCGACAGCTGAGGCCGAAGGGACCCCAGGCCTTGTCCGGCCCCCTGTCGGGCCTGCGGTGCCTCCATCGGGATGCGCGGTGGTGCTGGCTGCCCTCGAAGCCACTCCGGCTCAGTCCTCACACCTCCTGGTGGCCTCCCCAGGGGAGTGCCCTTACCAAAACTACAAATGTGGGGGCAGTGAGGGGGGGGCAGCGGGCACGAGGCACTGCCCAGGACCTGGGATGCGCGGCCCCCCCCAGGCGCCTCCCTCTCTCCTCTCCTCAGGCTGCAGTTCTGAGTCCTCCAGTTGCTTCTGGGTCGGTGTTGGTGAGGCCCTCCTGGCAGGGCCCCCATACTGCACCTCTCAGGGTGGGCATAGACCTCTGCACCTGCGGCCTCTCCAGCGTGGCCCTGTGACCTGTTTGAGTCGTTCTCATTTTCCAGACTACCTGTCCGGTCTTGTCCCTGACACCACCACCCCGTCACCACTGAGACAGAATCCAGTCCATCCCCAGCCCAGTGGGGAGTCTGGACTCGGGATCAGCCCTGGCAGTGCCTGTGCGTCTGTGGAAGGGGGTGTACAGGTGCATGGTTGCGGTGGGGTGGCGGGGCCCAGGCGAGTGCCCTGTGAAGGCAGTGGTGCAGGGCAGCGCCTCTCCCGGGCTGGCTCAGTGTGGGAACCAGGACGTGGTGCACACGGGCCGCCGCGGTAGGCGGGCGTTTAGTTCCCGAAGGCGACGGCGGAGCACGGCCCCCACAGTGGATGAGGACTTGGTTGTTCCTCTCCATGTGAAATTTCCACAGCATGGTCTGCATGGTCTCTGCCCAGCATTTGTCCAGCTCAGTTGGTCTTTATTTATTTATTTATTTTTCCTTTATTGATTTTAGAGGGGAAGGGAGAGGGAGAGAGAGAGAGACAGAAACATCGATGAGACAG